ACTCTCATTATTCACTCACTCACTCTCTCTCTCTCTCTCTCTCTCTCTCTCTCTCTCTCTNTCTATCTATCTATCTATCTATCTATCTATCTATCTATCTATCTATCTATCTATCTATCTATCTATCTATTTATCTATCTCTATCTATCTATCTATCTTTCTATTCTATCTATCTATCTCTCTTTTTCTCTTTTTCACTCTCCTCAAAGAGATTACACATGGACTCTTATTGTTGGGCCAAAACCCGCGAAGTGTCCAACATGTTGAAGCGTGTAACTCCTTGGCTCCATATAGAGACCGTGAGGAAATGTCACCCGGTATGAGGATCTTGCATGAACACGAAATCGAATATTATTTGGGTCCCCTGGTTGAAATTTTGAAGGAAATAGGGTTGTATATATTGATAGTTTTGGATCACATACCTAGGATGTGTTGAAATGTATGTATTTATTGGCGTGAAGATGTACCGTGAGAGGGCTGATGGCTTTACATTGAACTCAATTTGGTTAGTTTTATAATAGGTGTAAAGGTGATGGAGGAATATCGAGTACTCCACTGCCCTTACTGAATATGTCAATAAGAAATAATGTATTTAAGAGTGAGTGAGAGAACTGATTTCTTTGGGGGTGAAATAATCTAACTTTAGAAAGCCCCTGGTATCCAACCTTGGTGGCTGGATGGATAGACCGAGGTCTGACTCTGGACTGCCAACACCCAAGGTGGGTGATGGTGCTGGATTTGCCGGACTGCGAAAAGTGGTAGCTTCAACTATGTTGTTTCGAGGTTATATAAATCAGCGATCAGTACAATAAATAAAATAAACTATAAATACTTGAGAAGAGCAGACAAAAGTAATGCCTCTGTAATCACAAAACTTTACCAACAAATCTAATGAATCTATAAAAAATAACGACGTTCAAAAATCAACATAAAATACATAATTAATAACTCTCCTCTTACAAACTGCATACAAATTTTAACAGACCTAACTTCACAAAATAAAAACATACGCTGCAGAACCAAACACAACAACAGACATTATAAGAGCTGTCTGAAACCACCCCACAAATCGGAGCCACTAACCCACGTTCAAATACGAATTGATAAACTGAGGAACAAAATATATAATCAAAACAAACACGTTAAAATTACAAACCCTGTACAATAAGAGAAAACACCTTATACACAAATAATCACAAAATGCAAAAAATACATAAAACTGCACTGAAGACAACCAACATAATTAGAAAACACCTGAGATAAAACATCCAGAAAATTAACCAACTTGAAAAAACGACGCAAATTGACAATAACATATGAATAGCGGAAAAAATACATCGGAAGGCAGAAAAAAAATCATAATTAACTCCTTTTTGTTTTTGTGCTTAAGCGCATTAACCAAAATAAAACTTTTTTCGCTTCTTTTATTTCAATAGATCGAGTTTTTGAATAATAAAATTTGTATAACTACACTTTGACAATAGGTTGTTATGCACACAAGTATAATGATGGTGGTCATTATAGAGGTAAGAGTTCTTTCAAACCACTTGGCCACCCTTGGTCAATAAGTGGAGAATTCTCCGACATGTATGTCCGTCGTGCGGAAAGTCCCATTCGCATTATAATAATAAAAAAAATGATAAAAATGACGAGTGCATTTACGAACCTTGGAAATCACAAGGTTTAATGAAAATCTATCGTAATGGTATATATTAAATTTTAGAAAACACTATTCCAATCCCAATCTGACTCACGTTTTCTGCATACGAACGGTAAGGAAAAAGCAAAAAACATTTTAAAAATAGAAAAATGTCCTTTCTACATTCAAGTTAAGCACATTTTCTGTGGAGAGGTATCTAATTAAGTTTAGGTATTCCTGATTTTTTACAATTCCAACGTATATATATCAGGAGGTGGGTTGGGAAGGCAATTTAGGAGTCTATGCACATGACGTGGTAGAAGATCAATATTGGATTTAAGGGGATGGGACAACAAAAAAAGAAAACGAGTTGCTTGAGCCTTGAGAGACTCCAGAAGTGATGCACCAAAGAGACGATTGGGGTTTATCTGGGACAGAGACATCTTATGAACCATCTGTATGTGATGCGTAGAACCAGCGGAAGACACTGTGGACATTTTCTTCCAGGTTTGACGCTTAAGAAGGAGAAGGGTATATATCTATGGTATCACAGACATTAGAAAAATCAAATAGAACAAATTATTGTTATTGTTTTCATTGGCATTGTTTTACTTTGGTTAATAGCTGTCTGTCTGTTGTCAGTTTTTGAAATAGTAAAGCCCAAGAATTTTATACTGTAATTGTTTAGTTTCTGAATAATAACAAACATTGGTTGGATCAAAATGATCGAAAACAACCAAGCTAGGGATATTATTTAAGACAATAATGTCCAATCTAAATGAACGTGGTTCTTTTTAAATTATGAACAAATTAGTCCAATGATTCAATGAAAACCTTAGCATTGAATAACTTAGTCAAAATGCTTAGTGAAAAGTCTTGGCTCCTAGGACAAAAAGTAACGGACAAACACGGACGTGAAAGGTGACTAGAAGATCTCTCGGCCAAGATCCTGCCTGCATTAGGTATTAGCAAAAGCGCTTCAAACAGATTACATCCAATTGGGTCAGATGACATCAAAGACAAAGATGGACCCGTCGAAAGCCAAGTATTTAAATGAACGATCAAAAGTCCTTCGTCTAACTGGCTCGCTCCTCTAAGTTGAGGCGATACTAATGTAGGACCTGAAGGGATATCTTACAAAGAACTACGAGGATATCTAAACATTGTTAATTAAAATCGCAATTTAATGAATGCAAATTTGGTTGTTTGTTCAAAATAAATTATTTTCAGTGTTAGAAAAAGAAAAGTACTGTATCATTTACGAACACTCTGGATCAAGGTATGGTCTTGAAGTAGAAAGCAAATTCAGTTGTTATTGCCAAGCTTTCGACCTATATTACGGTCATCATCAGGGCAAAACAATAATAAATATGTCTACAGATATTTAAGTTTTTTACAGGCGATCTCAAATTTTCTTGAACACAGAAAAAAAAATTAAATAGACTGTCCAAAGGAAAAACCGACCACCTAATTTTTGCTCGAAAAAACGGCCAACTTTGGAAATTCATATTTTCTCAACCTTATAAGTCACAGATCTGCGACTATGTCTCATTTTTTAAAGAAATTACGCTGAACAAGATAGGTTTTAAAAGGTTTTCCTAGCTTCAGTCATTCATCAGTAAATTCAAAAATTCTAGAACATGTCGATTTTTGCACTTTTACGAAAATTCAAATTGAGCTGTGGAACCAGGACATCGTCTTTGGAGCGGCATTCTATAGCAATCCGTAGGAAATTTTAATAAGCTTTCAAATTGTCACCATCCACTTTGCCTGATTTCTCAACCGTTTTCGAGTTATTAGCGTTTTTTGTGCAAAAAACGTGGTATTTTACGTGCTCTTGGAAAAAACCGATCACACTCTCTCTCTTTCCCGATTTTACCATACATAAACCTACTGTTTCGATACGTCATCCGAAGCTAAACTGCTATAACACCTTTGAAATGGGAAGGAAAAATTGAATTTCCGTGATGAGGTAAACAAGTGGTATCGACAGGAGAAACAATCCACATCACCAAAGGTTAAAATAAGAAAAAGAATGAATTTACGCTTCCCTGTTCACTTTTTGAAAAAGTCCTCGGAACAAAATTGAATAGCGTAAGCAAGACGGTTCAACTTTTATGCATTCTTGAAAATCGGGAAAGAGGAAGAGAGAGAGAGTGATCTTTTTTTTTCCATGAGCACGTAAAAAACCTCGTTTTTGGCCCAAAAATCGCGAATAACTCGAAAACGGTTGAAAAATCAGGCAAAGTGGAAGGAGACCAACTGAAAGCTTATTAAAATTTCCTATCAATTCCTGTACGGCTCCGCTCCAAGGACGATTTCCTAGTTCCACAGCTCAATTTGAAGTTTTTGTAAAAAAATGCAAACATTAACATGTTCCCGAATTTTTGACTTTACTGATGAATAATTGACGCTAGGAAAACGTTAGAAAAAAGCATTTTGTTCAGCGTAAGATTTTCTAAAAAGCGACACTGAGCGTAGGTCTGTGACTTAAAAGGCTGAGAAAATATGTATTTCCAAAGACCCAATTTTTTCGAGCAAAAAATTAGTGGTCGGTTTTTCTTTTTTCTTTTTGGCGATTTCAAAATTCCTTGAAGACCGACGCAGTCCCTACATTGCCAAGGACTGTAACAGTATTTGTATTGTATGCACTGTATCAATACGGTTACAGCCCTTGGCAATGTTGAGACTGTGTAGGACTTTTTTTTTTGGGGGGGGGGGGGTTTGGGGAGTCCCCATTACCCATTGTGTAGGACTTCAAGAAAATTTTCAATCGCCTGTAAAAAAACTTAAACACGTCAATCTGTAGACATATTTAAAATCGTTTTAGCCTTATGATGACCTTAAAATAGGTCGAAAGCTTGACAGTAACAACTGAATTAGCTTTCTACTTCAAGACCATACTTTGACCCAGAGTGTTCGTGAGCAAAATACATTAGACAGGCTGGTAAGATGTTTTTACGTCACAGACTTCAACGCGATATATGGGAATTGTTTCAAGACAATTTGGTTGACTACGATCCATTTTTTCTACATACTTATCTTCGTTTTTCTTGTCCTTCATGTTTTGCTTTTTATGAATTATTTATTATTTGTTTTTTAGGCCTTTTCTTGAAAGTGTACATTTCGACAAATTGTAATGATCTCTTTACGAACAAAAATTTGACATGCAGTTTTGGATATGGAGGGGGGGAGCTGAATTTTGATTTCTAAATTTGCCGATCAGAGTTTGCCAATAAAGTAAATTCAACTTTTATTTGTCGGAGAATCAATTTTTTAAATGATTTAATAACAAAGGAAATAATTGTTTCAACTTTTTTATCTTTTTTTCCTCTTTCGTTGTACGTTGGCAACATTGTTCCTGTGATAACAGAAGGGAAGGCCGGAACCTTCCAGCCACCCCAATACCTTCTAGTAGCACTTTTCCGGTTCTTGTTCGAAAAAGTAAAAAATGGACACCTGATCGTCGAACTGGCGTAACGTTGTCGACATGGCGAAGTACCTGGCGCAGATCATCGTCCTCGGGACGCAGGTCGTGGGGCGGGCGTTCGCGCGAGCCTTGCGGCAGGAGTGGGCCGCCAGCCAGGAGGCGGCGAAACGGGCCGGCGGCGGCCAGAGAGGCGCCAACAGAGCGGCGGCCAACTCGAAATCGGGCATCACGCTCGAGGAGGCGAAGCAGATCCTCAACATCGAGAAACTCGACCCAGAGGAAATTCAGAAAAAGTACCAACACTTGTTCTCCGTGAACGAGAAGACGAAGGGCGGCTCGCTCTACCTCCAGTCGAAAGTGTTCCGGGCCAAGGAGAGGATCGACGAAGAACTTCAGACGATGAGCAAATATAAACAGGAAGATGAACAACCGAAATCTAGTAATACTTGAATTTCTCTTTCAATTATATTTTTATGTTGGACAGATCTTTGTAAATATGTTAACTTATTATTAATTAGTCTATTGATTAAATTGTTCCTTGTTTTATCGATTTTGTTATGACCATTTGACTGAGGAGAATAGAGCTATTTTCAGTAGTAATTGTATTACTTGTGAATTTTGCACATTGCCTCACATCCTCAAACAAATTGCATTATCATTCTATTGCATCATTCATAAAAGTAAGTTATTACTGTAAGTATGATGTGTAATCAAATCTGGGAAACATTACAAAATTTAGTCTTACCAATTTCCACTAAAATATGGTGGACTTAGAAAATTTTTAAACGCCATTTTAAGGAATAAAAACGTACTATGCAAAAAATCACCCGAAGAAAACTTCAAGCTTATTTTGTTCATTTTAGTAGAAAATTACAAGTTACTGTTTAAGTTGTTTCATCATCCATAAAAGTGAATAATTAAGGTGCAAACAAGAGCCGCATTGACACGGTGCTCATCGCTGTAAGGTAAAGGCCAGCGGCCCTGCTTTCAAACCTGACTTACAAATGGGCTTTTTTTCAAAAACATCGGCACCCCAAAGGTTCATAGAATTTCTTAATTTGAAATACCCTTATGTAAAAAAAAAAAAAAATTCATCAATAGATAACAAAACTATCTTGGAGTTTAAAATGTTCAGATACACCAATTTAAGGAATAATAATGTAAGTACAAAATGACCATAATAAAACTTTAAGCTTATTTGGTTCATTTTAGTAGAAAATTACAAATTACTGTTTTAGTCATTTCATCATCCATAAAAATGAATAATTAAGACGCATCAAAGGTTGAAACAGTTTAGGTATTGACAAGGCGCTCATCAATGTAAAGGTATGACATCTGAAGATCTGACACTTTTGTCTGGAAATATTTAACTAGTGTCAGACAGAAAATCGCTTTGTCTGTGTGCACCTATGTATGATACAAAACAGTGTTGTGACTGACTAACAGACAATGCACAGACCAAACCTCTGGATCTAAAGGGCTGAAATTATAGCTATAACGAACTAAGAAAGGATTTTTTGAAATGCCGTCCCTAATGGACAATTTTTTACCATATATAGACTGAAATGAATTGAAGAAGAGAAGAATTTGAGAAACGAGACATTATATTAGAACACGGGATCAAGGTATGGTCCTGAATAAGAAAGCAAATTCAGTTGTTACTGTCAAGCTTAAGACCTGTTTTAAGGTCATCATCAGGGCAAAACAATCTTAATATGTTTACATATTTGTTTTTTACAGGCGATCTCAAATTTTGTCAGTCTTCAAGGAAATTTGAGATCGCCTGTAAAAAAACAGAAATTTGCAATCTGTAGACATATTTAAGATCGTTTTGCCCTGATGATGACCTTAAAATAGGTCGAATGGTTGGCAGTAACAACTGAATTTGCTTTCTTCTTTAACTAACCTTTACAATTGAAAAATAAATTAAAAAATCCATCAAAAGAAAACGAAACTATCAGCTTATTTTGTTCATGTTAGTAGAAAATTACAAGTTACTGTTTTAGCCGTTTCATCATCCATAAAAAAGAATTATTAAGGGATGTTGGTGGCCACAATGGCATTGACACAGCACTCATCACTGTAAGGTAAAGTTCCTGGGTTCAAATCCAGTGGTCCTGCATCGAACCTGACACAAACAGGCTTTTTTTTTTTTTTAACACTAGCAACTCTGGGGTCCGTATAACCTCATCATTGAAATACCCTTGTTCAAACAAAAAATCCATCAAAAGATAACGAAATTAACTTAAAGTTTAAAGTTAGAACTTATTGTTATAGTCGTTTCATCATTCATAAAAGATAATTATTGCCGTAAGATGTGCAATCAAATCTTGGAAATATTACAATATCTAGTCTTACCAACTTCCACTAAAATATGGTGGTCTTTGAAATATTTTTAAACACCGATTTGAAATATATCGAAATAGTAAGTAAAAAACCACCAAAATAAGACTTTAAGCTTTATTTTAGAAGCTAATTAAGCTAGAAAATTACTACTTTACAAGTTGTTTATGAACTTCCAAAAGCCATGACGAGGGGAGCCGGGAAAATGGCCCCGAAATGTATTATGGACAAATAAAAGGAATATAAAATAAAAAATATTATGTTCTTTCTTTATACTCGCCATTTCCAGAAAATAAAAACAACTAAATAAAAAGGAAAGAAGAAAACTTACTTTTCAGTCGTTTCACCGTCCATCATCCGCGAAAGTGAATAATTGCAGTACGTTGTGCAATCAAATGATGAGATATATTACACAATCTAGTCATACTAACTTCCGTCAAAAAATAACAGAAATATCTCGGAATTTAAAATTAGATACACAAATTTAAGGAATAACAATGTAGTAAGTAAGAAATCAGCAAAATAAGATTTAAAATTAATTTTTCATGTTACTACATTGGAAATGAATTATTACTGTATGAAATGCTATTGAATTCAGAGAACTATTGCACAACTCAGTCTTACCAACTTACTTTAAGATATAGCAAAAATTCGATAGAAGTGAAAATATTTTGATCCAGCAATTTAAGGAATGCCAATGCTTGAATGTAAAAAATGACAGAATATTGTTTTAATTTGATTTTCTTTTGTGCCTTTTTTAATTAGTTTCATTATCCATAAAAGTGAATTATCATTGTATGTTGGACAATCTGCTGAGAAATGTTGAACTATCTAGTCTAACCAACTTCATCAAGTTGTAACAAACATATGGAGGACTTTCAAATATTTCTATATACCATTTTGAGGACTACTAATGCAGTGAGTAAAAAATCAACAAAATACAATTTAAAATTAATTTTCTGTTAAGATATATTTTTTAAATTTACAATTCCCTGAAGCTAATTGTAATTTTCATAATCATTTGCTAATAAAATGCTAACAATCTTAGATGGCTGATCTTCCATGCAATTGAGAGATCCAGTTAAATTTGAACAAAGGGTACAAAAACAATAATATACGTAATAGTCAGATAGCCAACCAGCCTTAAAACACTAAGTTCAAACAGACTTAGCTCAAAGATGGTGCTGAATTGCAAAATTAATAGATTAGACAAAACAGTCACGCTCAGGACATGCGGCATGGTAGAGGGAACAAGAGAGCAGATGCCTTTGCAAAGAGCAGACATACCGCTGATAGTCCTGAGCCCTTCTGTCACACTATCAATGAGTACCTTAGATAAAACATAAATGAGGAAATAGTGGAATTTACTCATGCAATAAACAATCTGAGAACCTTCTAGCAAATTTTGGAAGAAAAGAAACAACCATTATATGATGTGCAATCAAATGATGAGAAATGTTGAACAACTCGGCTTTGTCAATACAGATATAACATTTACAAAGGATGTGTACCGACATGGTGACATCACTGGTTTCTCTTGACAGAGTCGGCATGTTTCTTTCTCAGTTGTGCCTATCTTCTTTAGGTAATAGTTAAGAGAGCAGTGTCTGGTAGGCTTATCTTTTTCCTCAAATCTTGTCTGCTGAGAGAGAAGAACACTTTCCTTTTTGAAAGAACTATCATGTCTCTTTGCTTACCTCATACCTGACTATTTTGTCCAGCATTTGTTTTTCTTTCGAGAGAGGGCCTTTCTTTAGCTAGTTGATGAACCTGTTCGTTTTTTTCTGTATTTTCATGCCTGGGAACTAACCTCAACATAACCTTGTTGTCATGTAGGTGATTTATTGAACTATTCCAACCAATTGATTTTTTTTTTTTTTTTTAATTTCTGGATATGCATTAGGCTTAGATGCCAGCTCTCTCATCAGACTTTTTTTCAAATCATACTTTCTTCAAACATCATACAAATCATCTGCATAACTATATTCAAGAAACCAACCGAATGAAATGAGCTGGAAATTGACCTTGTGCTCTCCTAGGCCGTTACACAATAGGGCACTCCCAAGAATATTTTAAAACTAAAACTGTAGAACTTTTAGCATAAATCCTTGCACCCTTCACTTCTTCTTTAACCACTTCTATGCACAGAGTTGCATTGCATGGGATATAGTTTGAACCAGTCCAAAAGATTTTGATTGGGTGTAATTAGGCCCTTTAGACCTACTCTACTATTAGGGTTGTCTCTACCAAATCTGTTATCTATGACCACTTGGAAGTGTGGATCATTACTATAAACTTCTTTTAACACATAATCAACTCTGACAATATTTCCTCTTTGGAAAATTCCAGAACAGAGGCAAAAAGTTCATTAAAGGGCTATTGGAGAAACTAATGGCAGAACTACTAAACCTAGAAACAGTTAGGAATAGAGTGATATTAGAACTAAAAATTGGACACAGCCGACCACACTAATTTGAATAAATTCGGGACAGGTGAAACAAGTCTGTGAATATATTGCCAGAAAAAAGATGCAGTGAAACATGCCTTCTGTTAGTGTGAGGCCTATGCTGAGATTCTTAATTCTCGGAGAGAAAAAAAGCCAAGACCTGAAGGCTGAGATTAATGGCTTGGGAATTCAACTTTGTAATGTTGTAAAACCTTTAAGCTTAACGAAAAGCTTTAAACAATAATGGAAATTGCCCAATGGACCAATATTGGTCATGGAGTGCAAGGTAATAAAGAGGACACCTTCTAACCTTAATCTTTTTTCATACACAATAAAATGATACAAGGAAGAAACAATAAATACCAAACCAAATTATTACTATTCCAACGTTTTATTGTTTATTTAAAACTATGTATCGTTACAACACATAAAAGCGTAAAACAAATACTTTACACTGTCTAAGTACGAGATATGTATACTTCTCGAAAATTTATCGACTTACTCCAAGCGTAGCACATTGGAATGTTTCACTAATTGTGTCAAAAGACAAACGCACACAGACACATACTGTTTGGTGGGTTTTTGCCCCTGAAAAATACTCTCCTTATAATAAAAAAAAAAAAAAAAAAAAAAAAAAAAAAAAAAAAATAAATGATATGGTTAAACTGGAGTCATTAATTATCGAAATGGAATGATTGTTATACCAGTTCAAACAAAGTTTAAAATACAATATTTTACAGTAGTTTTTAAAACTAGTTTTTGAGATCTTTTGATTCCGTTTTATAAATATTTCTTTGAAAAGTGTTTAAAATTATAAAATGATATTTTAGAGAAAAACATAAAGCCTTACATTTAATCAGCCTTTGGTCAACCAGAAAAGTCTTTTCATTATGACTTTCACATACAAAAAATTGTAAAAAATAAAAATAAAATAATATAAACTAAAGACATCCTTTGTTGAACAGACTATTATCTTAAATTTAACATTTTTGGTCATAAAAATCTGGAAGATAGCAGTTATATTGACAGTCTTCCTCTTTTAAAATCCCGCATCGCACAAGACATTGTAAATGATCGGTGGTTTCCTTTCCGCGACAATGAATACAAAAAGCTTTGGATTTTTTTTAACAAGTTACCTGCTATAACTATGAGATTATAAATTTTGTTTTTCTTTTCTTTTTGACAATGAACACATTTAAAAGCTATACATTGCTAGCATCGTGGCAGTGATCCAACATTTAGCTTGTACTGCAGCACATGTTTTTTATTTGAACTTTTTTTAGTGCTGTTTACATACGCACCGAAACTGATATGAATTTGAAAAAAGTATTAAGGTATTTAGATCATCCATTAGACAACCCTTTTATATTGAAAGGGTTACATTTGATTTTTCTATGAGAGACACGCAAAATCATGATTTTAAAATACTTAATAATGACTGTTTTCTGCGTAATATTAAAAAAAAAGTGATTTATAAAAAAGCTCATCCAGAATAATAGACAAGGTAGGTAAATTTTCATAAAATTACCTAAATAATATAAAATTTTATAAAACGTACATAAACCATGATTTTGTTTGATAAAAGCATCTTTGAAGGCTTAAAAGTTTTTAAAAAATACCAGCAAATTATTTTAAATTACTGGCATTACTAGCTATTAGGAACTTCATATATAAAATGATTTTGCGTGTGTAAACATGATTCTGAAAATGAAAGTTGTTCTGAATATTTCAGAATGAAAAATTCAGATGCAGGTGCGTTAAAAAAATTGACAAGCTCAACTTTTTTTTTTTGAAAAGTGAAACTTGTGCCTTTTAAGTTAGAATGCTGTCTTGCGAGTTGCATTTGTCTTGGTCCGATGTGACTTTAATGTCAGTGAGCACGACAACCTCGTAAGGCGAGCACTCTTCTAGTTTCATAACAGAACAAAGCCAACCGTAAAAACCCTTCTCCCAGTCAAGTATCTCCTTCTGCCAGCTTGAAAAAGACCACGAGACCTGCACGAAAGCGGCGTATGTGCCTAGACCTAAAGTGAACGCGACAATTATAAAAGGATACAAAAGGATGAGGAAAGGTGAGATGAATAATTTATAAACTATGTTTTTTTCCTCTGTCACGTATGTGAAGATACTGTACCACGTGATGGTCCCCATGTAGAACGAGTAAAGAGACGACATGATAAATGCAACGGGGAAACATAGAACCGTAAAGAGAGTTACGTGCGGTCCGCTATAGAGTGTGCAGGGTCGGCGCTTCTCGACTTCTTTGGCGGCGATGTTAGCTTCCATGATTTCAAGTTCTTCCCTAGATATGTTGAGCCTGACATCGAGGCTCTGTCCGGCTTTTTTGCCCCGTTTGATCGTCCCGGTCATGGTGAGGCATTTATCGTTGCTTGCGATACTCGCAGGATTGCCGCACGACTCGGAATCTTCAGAACACCTCCTGGTCTCTTCGGAGAGGGAGCGTTCAGTGCATATGTTGACTTTCTTCTTTGCCTTCGTGTCGCCTTCACCTTTAGAATCGATTCCGTTCGACAAAACAGTCTCTGCTATGTAGCTACCGTTCGGCGTTGTCGCATTCTTCTGTTCAAAAGTAAATTAATTTATAAAAAATTTACTAATGGGGGAATATGTATAAATTTCACCTGGATCTTCTCCGACGGTCTGTTTTCAGGATAAGGGATCACTTGCCCGCTATCTTCCATTTCGGGCAGGTCGTTTACAATTACATAACAGGACAAATTTGTCACAAAAAATTACCAAAAGTTAAAAAGTTAAGATCACAGACTACATCAGGGTTTGTTTACCGGGCTAGAACCTTCCAACACGGTTATCTCTGGCCACAACCATAATAAAACTATTTAAACAATATAGAAAATAAACCATATTAATACAATTAATTTTTATTCTTAATTATATAACGTAAAATGGGTATTTATGTTTTTTATTGTAAATTAGTAAATTATTTATAGCGGAGAGGAGGCCGTGGTGGTTTGCAAACGGTCGAGACTCCCGGGCTGAGGTTCTCTGATTGTTTCCATTTCAGAACGCCCGTTACACTTTGTTACTCGACCGTAAGAAATACTTTTATAATTGCGATCCGACTTTTTATCCAGTGCGGATAATTTTATTCACAAATCGGCTTCTGGCACGTTCGAATGATGTTGAACAGTTTCGGCGATGGAAACTGACCAAAAGGTAAATAAGACGCTATTCAATTTTTCTAACTAGGATCCTGTCAAGGGGTCACCAAAAGAGGCCTAAGTCAAACGTGTTTTAACCCTTTTACGAAATGTTTGCGATTTATGTTCAACCCAGTCAATATTTTCCTTTGGGAAAGTGAACAATAAGGTAGTGTGCTTTTTGTCTCGATTTCAAGCTTATCTTGCTATCGTTTCTATATAGGATTATTGTCAAACACTTCTGAGTTTGAACATTAATACATCCCTTTTGGTTTTACCCTCGCCTTGTTGTATATCATCATGTTGCATGTCAATTTCTTAATCATTACTCTATACAATTGGGAAATGCAATACGATAGTATTTCTGTCAGTGAAAGTTGATTTAAGATCAAATAAATGATCTTTGGTGATCAATTGCCATAAATCAGTTGTCAATGTTCGAAGTTTCATCTTGAAATACAGTGTTGTATTAAGTATACTTATTTTTCCCCCGTCTTTTTAAATTTTATTTAGCACATTACGTTTATGATCGTATACTAAGTGTAAAATATGACTTGAAACATGTGATGACTGTATTAAGTCCAGCGGTGTACTTCACTTAATAAAATTATTAATAAATTTGATAACAATAGCTTGCAATAATTAATTATTGAACAATAATAGATAAGAGTTGAGATAAGAGTCGTACAAGGTCGGAGTATCTCTTCCTTTTCAATATGCTTTTTGACCTTGGAGCTGGTTGGCTCTGAGCGATTTCTTGTATCAGTTGGTTCGGCTGTGACATGATGAATGGAGTCGACTGTTATATACTTTCTTAAAGTCTTAAAACTTATTTTCTGAACGTAATATTGTTACAATACAGTTGTGAGAATCCGCATGTGGAAGATGATCATCAAACTAAAAACTTACTGTAGATGATCAATAATAATCTAGCACATTTCTGTGTCTATTACATAAATTATGTCTAGCCATCATTAAATCTCTTATAGTTTAATTAATAATTTGTTATTAATTTAATTAAGAGTTTAATAGATACGGTAGTGAGAATCTACAGATGATCACCAGACATTGATTTTGATTCAGTAGCTTTCAACATTTGAAGCTGAATCGTATTATTCATTTCCTGCAAAGTCAACACCCTAAAACTTGTATTTCCGTATTCATAAAACTCGTTAATAACTCAGAGTTATATAGAACCTGTCCGTGAAAGATGATCAACTAATGATTTACTTAGATGATTGATTTTAATGTAGCAGGTGTCAATACTTCAAGTAGCTATGTTGGCTTTTATTTCCTTAATTACGGCTTAATTTATGAAAAGTCGACATGATAAAATTCTATCTTGGGTTAATAACACCATTTTAGCTATTACAATAGTGAGAATTTGTGTGTGAAAGGTGATAATCTAACATAGATCTAATAGCTGTCAAAATTTGACATAGTGTATTTTACTATTCAATTTCTGACCATTCAGCATCATAAAACTTTTATTTACTGGGTTACACATTATTGAAGTGAGAATTCGTCTGTGGAAGGGAATCATAATACTAATGACTTTTTTACATGATTGATTTTAATCTTGAAGCTGCCAATATTTGAAGTTGCAACTTAACATGCTGTATTTTATCGTTCAGTTTCTGAGAAGTCGCCATCATAAAACTCTTATTATTGAGTTTTAATAGCATTGGGTTACATAATACAGTAGTGAGAATCCGCCTGTCGAAGATGATCATCAAATATTGATTGTCATCTAATAGATTTCAACATTTTAAGCTGTTTTGTACTGCTCAATTACTGACAAGTCAACATCATAGAACTCTACTTTTTGTAAATTATGGTTCCACTCACAGATTTGATCTCAAATTTGATCAAAAATCCGCATACAGAACCATCATTTACAAAACTGAATCTACATATACACCCCACCTGTATTATTTCTATCATAGAACTCTTATTTTCTTAGGTTAATAATACTACAGTAGTGAGAATCTGCTGTGGAAGAGCTCATTAAACTAATAAGTTACCTTAGATGATCAATTTTAATTTAGCAGCTGTCAACATTTAAAGTTTTGACTTGACATGCTGCATTGCATTATTCAACTTCTGGTCAACTGACATCATAAAACTCTTATTTGCTTAGTTTTATTAAAATTACAGTACAATAGTGAGAATCCGCCGGTGAAAGATCAAGCTAATGATTTACTGTAGATTAGCAATTTGCCTCTAAAAGCTGTCAACATTTGAAATTGATAACAAGTTTTGGTACTGGTCATATGTTCCTTGTCATTTGTCAACATTGTGAATCATGCTAATTAGAATTGACTTATTTAATATTGAAACTGACCATTTGATTGGCTCATTGTAAGATGATGCAGACTATCATAAAATGCAGTTTTAAGCAAGCATTATGAATGACTGTTTCAACTGTCAATTTGCGAACTTTTTGGTATAGTTGACAGTTCTTGCTTTACTGCACTTGCACTTCTTCTTTTTGCTTCTTACTTTACTCTGTAGTGATGCATAGTGTAGAAAGGGTTTAATTCTTCTGATTAGCCAGAAAGGTGTAAATGGTGGAGAAACAAGAGAAAAAAGTCGTTTGTTTCATACGAGGAACAAAATTTGAAGTGTTCACACATATAATTACTTATTTGTATATAAAATATCAATATTAAATTTCTATTAGTAAGGTGATAGTGGAGTAATAGCCTATTTTCTGTGGTCGGGCCTGGCAGATGCATTTGTGCATGCCATTTTCAGGTTTTGGTATTTTAATGCTTAACTTAAGCTTAATCAAAATATATCTGACCGGTCAAAACAGCCAGGCTAAGCAGATGAAACTAATTGGGAAAGTCTAAATTATCATACTACATGTACATCTGGCCTCAGCAAATTTCTCACTGAATGCTTATACATATTACTATATATTGCATTAACAATAACTATCATAAAAAATACTGCTAATAAAAAACATTCATTTGAAACATTAACTTCATTTAAAAAACCTCATTTTCTTATCACAGGACCAACCATGTTATGAAAAGTGCCTTAAATTTTTTGATTTATTCAATATCTTTTAACAATGTACCATTGTGAGTTGCTACAACAAAAAAAAAAATTGTTGGTGCACTTAGGAAAGATAAATTGCTCCAATTAATATTTTTAATAAAGGATCACAAGATTTTTTCATTGTTGAATATCCCTGACAACAATAGATAATTTATTTTAGGAACACATAACAAAAAAAAATACTGAAGTTGTATATTTTTGTATTTGTGAAGTAAATAATAATTAGCCATAGAGGTAAAAATATAATTAAGTAAAATCCGAAGTAAATATTTTTTTAATAATAATTAACTATTGACATAACAGAATATAATTAAATGAATTCGAAAGTAAATATTTCACAATAATGATAGTACAACATAAAAAAATATTTTTAAAAAATTTGTAATTTTATAAATAAAGAAAAGAGCTGCGAGAAACCCATTTACGGGTTAAAGTGAATTTGTCAAATGTTACTAAAATAAATAAAACAGGACACTTTTGACTGATGTATGGTGGTTAATCTAGGAAACTTTTTCAAAATAGATTAGAGTAAAACTGGAGTTTATGTTGGCGTATGAAGTCTGGCTACAGACCTCTATAAAAAACTGTTGAGATATGGCATATGGATGTTATGTTTGTTACTAAATTTTATACAGTTGATTGAGCATCTTTTGGAGCTATACTGTTATTAATGATATTTTAAAAATTATGGTTTTATAGAAATTATGAAATAGCAGGCGATACTCTTACTTAAATTAATTACTTTTAATACAAATTATAATATTATAATTAATTTATACATAATGCATTTGTTTTATATTGCAATTTTGTCATTACTGATCATCAAACATATTTTGAGAGGAAAAATGCCCTCCAATATTTTGTAAATATTTATTGTATTTTTGTAAATGCTTTATTTATTATTTCTAAATTAAAAAATTAAATGTTATTGTCTTTTACAACGTTAAAATTGCCTAAATGAAGTAAACAGTAAGGATTCACTTGAATTAACTATACAAGGTCATTAGGTATCGATCATTATCTCAATTATACAAGCTTCTATTTTAGTGTCGGTTAAACATACATAGCACTATTTATGTAATTGCACTATTAATTTATAAATTGTAAATATCATAATAGCCTGTTCAGGTCCACAGGTCATTAATCGCGTACAAAAATATTACTGACCGTTTCATAGGTCATAATCATACAGCAATAAAAGCAATGGTGTTAAAACATCTTGCAATTGTTTTATAATTTAATACAATTACTTCAATTGGTTAAGCCATTTAAGTGTGAAAGTGATGAAAGTCGTACACCCTTGAAACCAACTTTCACATAAAATATGTGAATTTATAATACCAATTCACTTTCTCTATTCTCTTCGGTTTTCAGAATTCTATTAAAGTCATACGTTAGCACGATAAAGAAAATGTTTTTCTAAAACCTACGTCACACTAGACCGCAGCTCAAGATCTCCAAATAATCATTGGCTAACTAAACACCACACACTTATTGGAAAAACTCACAGTAGAGCTATTATATAAAAACTTCTTAGTTTGATAAGCTTTCTGGTGGTATACCCTTTTCTTTAAATACATCAAACCAAAATACAGAAATTTTATGCTAAATGGGGGGAAAAAAGTGGTGACGGTGTGACATACAGGGGATGGGGTTAATGCAGTAATTCAACTTTTTATCCTGGTCAAAATTTATTTCTCAACTGACAATAAAAAAGCACAAAAAGGAATTTATTGTCTCTTTGTGTGTGTTTTGTTTCTTTTTGTACTTTTTTATTAAGTTAAAGTTAGAAAATAAATTTTTCCCAGGACAAAAAGTTGAATTAATAAATTAACCTCATTCCCCATTTTGAAGAAGTTTTTGCGAAATCTGTCAAGCTTTGACTTGAATTTTTTCAATGAGGTTACAAATTTAGATTTTTTACAAATTTTAAATTACTTTTTGAAAGATTAATTTTTAATTTTTTTAAAAATTTAATTTTTTACAAAAAAAAAAAAAAAATAAGGAAGTTTAATGTTATTTTCAATCCTTTCTTTTATTTCTCCAAAAGTGAATATTTCAAGAGTAGATTTATGATGAAAACCGTAGGCAGTTAAAAAATAACTTTTTTTTTTTTTTTTTTTTTTTTGGCGTTATGAACTATGCATATTAGCCATGTGACAAATTCGTATATGTGTATTCAAATTTGGGGGGTTATTGGGAAAAAAGGGCCAGGGGCAACGGTGGGAATCGAACCCACGACCGCGGCGTGAGAGTCTCTCATGCTAACCACTCGGCTACCGCGGTCCCCTTAAAAAATAAAAAATAACTTAAAATGTTGAATATTTGCAAAAGGGGTTGAGAATCGGATATGGTTTATAAGAACTTTTTTTTGCCACCCTGAAGGTGTGAAATTTACTAGTAAATAGCCTGACATCCTGTATAATGAGATTAATCACTAATCCATGTGATTTCAATAAGTTCACTCTCTCACTTATTAAGATTATAAATCAATTAATTCATTTGTATTGATTTTCATTATTTATGAATCAGGTTCACTGTTTAAAGTTTCAAACTAGCTTAATAATTAGTAATTATTCAGAAATCGTGAGATGCGGTCTGTTGTGATGTAGGTTTCAGAAAAACCTTTTCTTTATCGTGCCAACATTTCGATCTTTATTTAGATCATCTTCAGGGCTCAAAGTGTTTATCTTCTGTGTAATTGTGCCATTCTTGCATGTCGTGTTGAAATGCAACAGTGCAGAATTCAGAATTTTAACCAAGCTAATTGACGATGTGACTAAATATTTTTATTTAATATCAATTACAATGTATAACAATATGTCTTAATTTATTTAGCACATTTATTTTCATATTATTTTGCAAATGTACTTCACTACAAAAAAGTGGCACACTCTGAATTGTTTATATATTTTTTTTATGTACTTGCATTTTCAGTAATAATAAAAACCCCACTCTCAACACGACACGCAAGAATGGCAAAATTACACAGAAGACAAACACTTTGAGCCCTGAAGAAGATCTCAATAAAGATCGAAACGTTGGCACGATAAAGAAAATGTTTTTCTGAAACCTACATCACACCAGACCGCATCTCACGATTTCTGAATAATTATCGATTTACGGTCACTAATCACCACACATTAATAGTTAGTTAATGTTATAAATAATGCCTGATTTTTAAGTACGGGATTTTCAACTTTATATACGATGCTAGGAATGTTAAATTTGAAAAGTAATTCCATCGTACAGGATGGCTTAAAGTCCAACTACCCACTCATGGGAAGTCGCAAGGTCAGAACCTCTTTAAACTAATTGTTACTTACTATTCTTAATTAAAATTCCATAGGCCACCCGAGTTTTGGAAATTAATGGCAAACGTTAAAAAATTATACAGATTCATCGCATAATATGTAGTGTTTTGCTTAGTTTTACTTTCATTACGAATATATTTTATTTTAATGGCTTCTCAGTTGAGCGAGAATAAGTTTCTCCTGCTTTTTCACTATTACTATCAAATTAATAATATATAAACGTTATTATATATTTTGGTTGAAGTCGTGAGGAGTTGTCAAGAATGAGGTAGTTTAGAAAAACATCTTTTTTATTTTTTTGCCGACGTTTCGACCTTTATTCGGGTCATCTTCAGGGCATAAAGTGTGGTGCTATTCTTGTGTCATGTTGGTTTTGTGTGATTGTGTGAAAAATATTGTGCCTGCACACATCAGCATACACATCATTACACTGCTCTATTAAATTTACAGGGTTTAAAAAAAATCCCCATCCTTTCTCCCTCTAGTAGTTTTTGTAAGTTGTAACTAATTAGACATCTATGTTAATTTTATCATTACTTTAAAATTTCTTTCTCTGTAATTTCCATTGTAAAAAAAAAATGTATATATTATAACGAAAATGAGGCAAGATTGTTGATGATAATGATTATTATTAGACAGAGGAGCACATAAGTTCCGCAGACATGATCCTTTTCCTTTCTATAATTGGACATATTACATATACATGTGCATACATTTTTCATATAATTGCCTGTTTAAAAAAAGTGGCTTAAAGAAAAAATTTAAAAAAAAATTGCAATACCACTCGGCATCTACAAATTGGCCAAAATGCACAATCTCTCAATTTAGAAATTTAAAGTGTCCAGGTCTTGTTGATATGCAAAAGTGTGTCAGAGGAGATTGTTAAATTGCCCTGTTTGAAGAGTTAATTGGAGTTATGTTGGATGTGGGTGGTGGCTGAAGATCATATTGATTACGAGAACGTTTCCCCACAAGGTCAATGCATTATTGACCAGTCTTATGATTGCATGTCAGTCCCCATTCTTCCTTCTATAACCTCAGACTTAAGCTTCTATTTTTCTCTGCTTTAAAGCTGCATTTAGGAATTAGGATTATTTGCTTTGTTTTAAATAAGTGAGTATGATTTCAAAATCGTGCTGTTATTTTCTCCATGGATTTTAATTTTTTTTTTTTTTTGTTCTGCTTGAAGATTGGCCACAAGAATAGAGATTGTTTAGGCAGTTACCAAGCCAACAAGAAAACTTTTGATCAGAATAGTTCACAAGAGTTGCAGAACGCCGTTGAAAGTTATTTAGACAGCCTTTCAAAGGATCAGGAGGAAATCTCTGACCCTAAAATCAAAAAGCAGCAAAAGCATTTGCAAGAGTTGCTCGATTCTTATAAAAAGCTTTGCTCAAAGCTTGATCAGCAAGTAGAGAGAGATGAAAAAGGTGCAAATTTTAAACCATTTGACGTGAATCCAACGCAACCAGAGATTTATGCCCTTCTCCATCCAGAGCTGTACAAAGATGTGCGCGAAGAAGAAAAAAACAGGCTCATATCCAAGTTCTCGACAAAGCGAATTTTCTCCGATGCCGAACGTGTGATCCCACCCGTGATAACGCCTTCCTATTCCATAAGCGACATCCGCCAGAAGGAGAAGGAGCGCTTTATCCGTCTGATAGCCAGCGCTCCAGCACGTTTTCACAATACGATCGATGGGACTCCCCGCCTCAAGAGCAGGAAGTTCGTCCCCTATACGCCCCAGTATACGGAAAATATCCGTGAAAGTGAAAAAGAAAGATTAGCTAGGATATTTGCAACATCTGCTGCATTCCTCAAACGGCCGAATCTCCAGAAGAGGATCATCGGTAGAAATCTGTTGAAAAATTTCAATTCGGATGTCTGTGATGGTTCTCAAACAAAACTAGATGCTGTGGATAAAAAACAGGATAAACAAACACCCAAACTTAATGGACAAGCTAAGGTAACAGTTTAATTAATTGTAAATAATGAATGTATATATATTTTCTCTCTCTAATAATCACTATATATTTAATTTATTATATTTTCAGTTCCCTCTCATCTTATTTTAGTGTTTAGATTTTTATATTTTGCTATGCAATTAAGATGTAGGGCGTATCATTCACTTCAATTATTAAATAAATGTCGATGACAACATTTACTGAATGACTTAATTATATTTCAATTTTAAAATTGACTGACTACTTGTAATGTTTGATTAATAAGTGTAGGAAGGTTCAACAGGCAAATACCATTAATGCTTATTGATATAATGTACAAGTAGCATATACATGCATGCATATACATTATTTCACAAAAGAAATAACCAAAATTCAAAAGATGTCAAAAATAATGATACAAATATTGAAGTAAAATGAACTGAATGCCAATACGACCAAATGTGACGAACAAATAGGTTTAACAGATTGATTTAATCCCGCATATGGCACTTGCTTTTTCATCTCAACCAAGTCCTTAGATTAAAAGTACAATTAATTAAAATAATTAATATGGTCAATTATGCTGCTAAATGCATATGTGGAATAATATAATAATTACAGAAGTATTTACTTCGCTAACAGTTCCCCGGGGCTACTTCATAAGTCACCGAGAATCGAATCCTGATTACACGGCATTTGAAAATATGGCAAAAAAAGAAAGTAAAGGAAAAATTCTAAAGGTTGTAGGTTGAATTCACTAGTTTCGTGGTCCGCTTGACCAATTAATATCGTACAATTAATTAAGGTTTTCAGTTGAGATAAAATTTGAGAGAGTTGTAGGTTGAGATGAGGAGTCTGGGCTGATCAAAGTCATGAGAGCTCTCAAGTGGTTATAGCAGCGGCATATTGAGCTGAAGGTAGTGGGTTCGAATCCTGTTCAAATTTTGTTTTGGTTGTTTTCAAGTACAAAAAATAATATGTCACTTTACTCACCCTGGTAGACAATAGGGTTAGGCCTACTAATTGTACCATAATCCTTCTATACCACCCTTCATCTATTGGCCTGACTTTTCCTTTTAGCTCAAAGCTCTCACTTTTCAGTTTGTATTCAGTTTCTGTGTGAAATTGGGCAAAATAGAAGAACTATTGTGTGTTTTTACTGTGCGGATGATATTTTGTAAGTTTTCATGGTCAGAAAGAATATTAAAACATTTTTCTTGACGGTCTGTGTGCTGCCTTTGCCTCTAACTCCTCATTACGTATTCTCAAGTAGGATCATAATTGAATACATCCAATTGTCTTGAGATTTTCTCAGATGCCATGACTGGTATACATACAGTGAGCTTATTGTGTCTAGAACCTCTAGAGTTTATCCACTTCACCTTTTGCCTTTTTTGGACTGTTCTGAGATTATTTGTGCTCAAACTAATTAGGAAATACACCTCGGTCTTTCAAGCTGAAATACCTGCCTTCAACGCTTGTGTTTAGAAAATCTTAAAAGAGGTTACACTGATAAAAAAAATTCTCAAAATAAGATAGCTAAGCATCCATTAAAGCATTAGAATGTAAAAACTGACATCCAAAATAGTGAATGAATTCAAAATCTTCAAAACCTGGGGAAACACAACAATCTGATCGTACTGGTACATAGAAGACTCAAGGAAGTTTTGGTAATGATAAGACAGACACATACAGAGTAGGGATATATAAGAACGTGTAAAGGAACCTATTCCTGAACCTATTCTCGAAATAACATTTTTAATGAAAGGTAATGTAATTCCAGTCTTAATTACCTGGCTGATGGCTGATGAGGTGTCAAATCGCTTACAGTAATTTTTTTCATTTTCAAATTTCAAAAATAACGAGCTATTTTAGGATTCAAACCCAGAACCACGAGGCAAATATATGCTGCATCCCCAAACACTTGGCCACTGAGGTCTCCATTTTGATTGTATGTACAGTCGACTCGATAAGTTGATCCTTAATCACTCAGATTTGTTGATAACTCAAATTGTTTAAATTCCCCTCGTTTGCCTATTGCTTACAGTTTTCAAAATATTTCAAAATAAAAACCTTGATTTTTATTTATTTTTTTTTGTAAGCCCATGCACCATTTCTTTACTTGATGGGCTCTCCATTCTCAGCCTCCACTTCTGCTCTCTTAACCATTCTATGCCAGACAGTGCACAACATTCACGTTTGCCAAGCAGTTTTTTTTTCAGGTTTTCTTTGTTTTTGAGTTTGTTTATTTGTCTACAAAAAAGTCTGTGAAACATCATTGTAAGGCTTTAAGCGTTGAAGAGAAACACAAGACTATTAAGGTGTTAATGAACACATTAAGAAAAATGGTGACCTTGTCAAAGTATTTGAAATACCGCCAAATGCCTTATCTACAATTTAAAAAATACGTATACATAAAATATATAAAAATAAGCGAGTAGTTTGGCTGGCTCAATACCTCTGGTTGCTACATTACATATTTAATTTGACTCAAAATGTTATTGAGTTACAAATGAAAATCTTTAATTTATTTAATTTACATTAACTGATATTTATAAGAATAGACTGAACTGTGAGTGAAATGAATTAAATGAAAAATGAACATGAATGAATATGAAAATGATGACTATAGCACAATTACACAACTAAAAAAATGACACTGAGTTCACTCACATGTTTTCAACTTAAATGCTGTACGAATACTCCTCCCTTCCACTCATGCCCTAATTTTCCTCCACTTGAAAAAAGGGCTGTTAACGTCTTCCACCAACCTCGAACTTCGATTAGTCAAAAAACTTGATAACTCAATTTTTCTAATTTCCCCCTGAGAATCGAATGTATAAATTTTGTAAAAATGAAAGTTAAATTTATATTGTTTTTTACTTGAAACAATTGACTTCTAAAAGAAAAAAAAGAAAAGAAAGTTATTTTATAACAAGATAGTGCCTAAAGAAAATCTGACCAAAGTTTAGAGAAACTGTGGAACACTACCAATGTTTTTGGGAAGTAATTTTATGGGCCATTCAGTTTACTTTCTTTCTCGCTTTGTAGGAAGTAGAGACTGACTATAAAGATGAAGATGTAGGTAATCAAGAAAACTTTAATCCTCGAAGTGGCCAAGACTTGGTAAGTCTGGTAACAGCATTAAATTGTAAATATTTGGTAGATGCTAACAATTAGTCAACATTTCTTTGTAGTGCGTAATTTTCTGTACTTTAACCTTCCTTTCTGACCTGCTATTTTTCAATTAAACTTTTAAAATTTAAAGTTTTTTCATATACAATCGTGATGTTGCTTTAAATTAATGTGCACAGTAGTCAAACTGTAACTTTTAGAGATTGCCAACTTATTTAGTTAGTTTGCATAATGCCTTTATAGTGTATATTAGATTTAACCTTTTAACATAGAATTCTAATTTTGGCAGCATTTAATAAATATAATCAAGATCTTGCTTAAACTTGCATGATCTGTACAAGTAATTAAATGCAAATCTCGGGAGTAAATATGAATTAATTTCATGGAATCAATACTGCCAAGGTTTGCTATTCAAAGTCAGACTTCTTTGAAGAGGCAACCAGCAGTTTCTACTTTTCTTTATTCAGTATTATTCAATTGCACTATTGAACAAAATGTTGCCGTTTTGTGAGAAAGTAACTGAAATGTTTGTCTATGGGTTCATAAATGTTGTAAGTCTGATAATTTGAGTACTTAATTTATGTAATATCGTGTTTGAGGTCACTCTTGTGTAACTATAAAGTGTTAATTTTTTTCCAGAATGAGATGGTACGAACAGGTGAATACTCACCGTTGAACAGAAACTTCCACGCCAGGGGCCGAACGGTTCTGGGGGTCGGTGAACATGATGAACAGAAGCGGATGTTGGATGCAGAAAGGCATTGCGAATACGTGAATTATATGGAAAAGGTAGAGCCGATGTTGTACAACATACAGTCTGTTTTATTTAATTTTATGTTTCGGTTCAGGTTAACCAGAACAAGATCGATAAGGCAGTCATGGTGAAAGAACGAGAGGCCAGTACTAGAGTCAGCTCTGCTGCGACTCAGACAGATGATTCGATTGTTGAAGATGATCACCAGGATGATCATGTACAAACATTACAAGCGTCTCCGGAAAAAGATCCTGTTGCTGTCTTTAGCCCAAGGCAAAAGCTCATTTCTGACCTGTACGGTACACCATACTTTAGTCAACCCCGACCTAGCAGCAGCCTTAGAATATTACAAGGTAATTACTTATGAAATATCACATTTGATAGATTTTTTACTTGGAATAAAATTGTTTAAATATAATACTGATGATTTTTTTTCCAGAACATAGGCGTAAGCAGGTGGAGTATGCGGAAGCTTTGAGGCAACAGATTGAAGAGAAGAAAAAAATTGTCGATGAACAAAAACAACGTGAGAGGGAAGATGAGGAGATGATTGATAAAATGGTACAAGAGCAATCCCGACGTCAAGAACTCGAATACGTAAAAGAACAAAATCAAAAACTCGACTGGATCCAGCAAGTATGCATTTTTTCCCAAAATTTATTAAATAAAAAATATTAATAAAAAAATTAATTAATGTTTAGCGGCAAGCCCAGGAGGAAGTGCTAAGGAGGAAGCTTCTTGAGATGAGCCTCGAGGCGAAAGAGCTCAAGAGGCAAGAAAAGCTAAGGCGTATCCAGGGCGAGAGACGGGTAACAGTCGCCCCGCCGAAACAGACGCAGCAAAATGCGGCACAGCGTCAGTACAGCCATCGGCCCCTCGTAAGCAACAAGCCAACAGCTCAGGTGCGAACAATTCCAAGCAGGCATTTTCTATACAACGGACGGTTATACATTTGAAATAAACTGTATTTTTGTGTTTAATTTTTTTTTTTTCCGAAACAGTAAATTTTTATGCTGACTTGGGGCTTTTAAGGATAATTTTTTTTTACAATTTTTTGGTAATGGTTATTAAGTTATAAAGGGTTGTATTCTTTTAAATTTTTACTAATGAGATTTGTAAATAAGTAATTAACTGTAAAATTAATTTTTTTTAAACATTCAAAGTTGTTTTGTTTTTATAATTTTTTAAATGCTCTTGCTTGATTTTTGTTTTTAATTTTCTGTAATTGATAGACGTGCGAAATAAATCGAGTTTTCCAGTACATTTTGGAAATTGTGTAGTAACAATCAGTTTTAACCAGCTTCAATAAATCTGTATTGTAAGACCCAGTCAGCAATGACGATGAGAAACAGAAAACTTTTGAAAGTCACAAGTCATGTATTGACAAAATTGTTTTGCTTTAAAACTTCTCTAACTCCTATTTTTATATTATAATTATCAGATTTGGAGAATCACAATAGTGTTGAATGATTACAAAAAGTGACAAAAACAGGTATTTGGATTTTATAGGAAGAAGCTGACAAGGATCTGAGAGAGTTTGATGAAAGACCGGTGATGCCTGTTAAGAAGTTGAACGCAAAGTCACTCCCGGAGAAGCTCCCGAAACCTGGCTGGGATGAAATCCCTGAAAAGTACACTGAAAATTTACAAGGCGTCGACCTACTGCGTGAGTACCGCAGCCAGAAGGAGCGGATGCAGCTACCTCCACAGGTCGACCGAGCCTCAGCACATCCTCTTATAGTTGAACATAGAAACTCATCCCAGGACAACCTTCAAGCCCAGGAGGAAGGCTATGTGCCTTCGGTCATCAGTGATGAAACACGTAGGAGTAAATCTGTCACCTCGTACCGCCGACAAGCTGAGGAACTGCTAAGTGCTCCTCTGGAGCCGATGATCAAACTGCCTACACCATCAGAACGTTTTTCTTCAGAGAGGTCACCAGTTTCACCTACATTGATGGAAGGGAGACCTCCTTCTCCTGTTCTTCCAGCAGTAAGGAGTGAATCAGTTTTAAAACATAATTCAAAAATTCTAGATGACAAATGGCAGGTTAGTAAACTATTTTTTAATCTTTCTAAAACCCCTTAGGGGAGTTATAGTTATAAATTTAATGTTCATATTAACATAAACTTTGTAATTTGATGGATTTAAAGATGATAAATAATTAACATCCCACAAACGTTATGTCTCAAAGCAAATCAGGTGCTCCACAGGGAAGAGTCCTATTGTTTATTTTACTTCGATTCTGTAGGAAATCCAGCTTTAATTATATGATTGTCCCCTATTGAACTCTTATCTTCCAAATTAGTCAATTATTAGATATAGACTTTTTTATATACCTGATAGAAAAAATATTAGCCCATTAATATCATTTAAATTTAACTGGATAATTAAAAAAAAATGTTTCTTTTGAACTGCAAAATATTTCTTACCAGGAGGCTGTGGAGGTTAGATCATCGGTTTTAATGAAACTTTTCTTTTGGCTATACTTTGGTAGAAATAAATATTAGACAGACCGGGTGTTCTTGCCAATTAAGTCGCATGGTATTGGAAGGGTTAAGTGGAAGAAGGCTTAATTATGAACTTATTAAGAAATCAGTGAACATGAATTTTATAGTAAACAAAAAATGTACAATTTTTGTACCTCTGATAACTGTATTTCTTTTAAACATTCATAACTTTTATGTTATTATAAGAGAGAAAAATAATGATAAAATTGACAAAAACCTCCTCAGACATTTCATTTTGTATATCCATTTATTTTATATATGTATATACAAAATAATCGTACACACCCCCCAAAAAATCCATGAGAACAAATTTTTCATAAAATAAAAAAATTATGCATTAAGGAAAAAAATCGAAGCGATATTTGGATACCTCTGATTCTTTTATTTACTTTTTTATATTTACTGAGGATAAAGTTATGCCATGTAATTTATAGAGTTCCAATCCCTTGTAAAGTTTCCCGAAAATCAATGTAGTCATTTGTAAGTTATCACTAGTTTTGTAATTTTCATTAAAAAAATAAATTAAAAAAATTTAAAAAAAATGGAGGTATCCAAATATCACTTCCTTTTGTCCCTTAATGCATTTTTATATTTTATGAAAAATTTGTTTTCAGGGTGCCCTTTTTAGATGGCCGGCTGAACCAATGACGCTACAAAAAAAATAAAAAATTAATTAATTAATTTAAAAAAAAATTGTTAGTCCAACTTCACATTTTACCTTCTTTTGGAGAAAAATTGTACAGGGTATTTGAAGGAGGTTTTACCAACACTATTAGATGATGTTCTGCAAAACTGACAAATCAACAGCTTGATGGATGCCCCGCGGACAAATCTTTGCGGGTGAGACGTTATTTGAATCGTACTTCCGGGATGCGGGATAGGACCACGAGGAGCTGAATATTTGATTAAATGTTCGCGAAAATCAATCCGGGTTCCTCTCTCCGAAATGTTGGAAGAGTTTTAGTTTTCCAAAAAATAAATTTAGAGATGTACTCCGGACTTACAATTTTAAGCCGTATCGCTCTCATCTTGTCCAGTGACTTTGGGACAGGCGTATAACGTTTTGTTGCTTTATCCACCCATCCCGGAAGCAACGGTTCAAATATCGTCTCACCTGCAAAGAATTGTGTGTGGGACCTCCATCAAGCTGGAGAATCATTCTTTGTCGTTGTTGCAAAGGAACATCATCTAATTGTGTGGGTAAAAATTCCATCACAAAGTGAGGAACTAAGCGCCATTTAAATTATTTTCCTAGAAATAAGGCCCAATTAATTTATTTCCGAGAAGTCCACACCATGCTGTGAACCACCTGATGATAAGATTACTTAATTCTCGGATTTTCTTTTGCCCACGTTCGAAACTTCTAACGGTTTAAAATGGCCCCATCTGTTGGCCTCCTCGGCCACCCAATTGAGCTCTATTTGACTATTTTCTGTGGGGCCATGTAAAAAACAGTGTCTATGCCAATCACAACCCAGCAACCTCAGTTTAATAACTGCAACAAAGGATTGAAAATGCTTGTCAATCCATCTCCCCTGACTCTATCGCTCTGAGCCCCGGTGAAGTGGGGTTAAAAAGAGCAAACCTTTGCATCTGTATCCAGGGCAGGCAGTTTGAACATGAAATGTGATTAATAAGTAGCGAAATTAAATGACTGTTTTCCCCCAAACTTTTTGCCATAACTTTGTCATTTTTTGACTAATTTAAAAGCCGATTGCGTCATTGTTTTCAGCGTAAAAAACCCTTTAAACCGGGAACACACCCGATGCAACACTATGCGACGCCACCCGACGCCTTGTCTCGTTTTGGTAAGGTGTGCACATCTATGCGACGTCAAGCGCACGCCACGTACAGTCACACAGCGTGTATTACAATAATCACTGTCACAATCGCAACGGCTCTTTTGTTCTTAATGCACTATTTTGAGCAAAACCATGTAATAAATTGTTTGTTAAACTTACTTGTTTTAAATGATTCCGTTGTTTTGATAAACTTTCTTCCTAACCATCATAATTAAATAATTTTTATAAAAACTCATGAACTTTTGATCTCATTTAATTTGGCTTATATTAAAATAAGAATTGTAATTAATATAACGACAAAATTCCATATACATAGTTTGAAATAAACCACAAAAAATGTGATTGTCCTGTTCTGACGCTCCTCGACGAAAATGGTGTAATTGTATGAGCAAGACCATGAAATAAATTGTTACTTAAATTTTATGAGAAAAACCGTGTAATAAATTGTTAGTCAAATTCATTAGATCAAAAAATGGTATTCCGGTGTTTTGATAATTTTCTACCAACCCATTAAAATGAATTCTCTTAAATAAAAACTAATGAATTTTTGATCTCGGTTAATTTGGTTTATATTAAGATATGAGTGTCCGGTTCTTTTGTCTTCGACTGTACTCGATGCTACGAAAATCTTGTCAGTGGGATCAAAGAGCGTAGAATAGGGTAGCGTTGCATGGCATCGGGCAGATGTGCACGGGAGTAACATAATCTTATGAAAAATTGGACTTTGGATTTGGTCGGGTAGTGTAGCATGGCGTTCAATCGGGTGTGTTCCCCGTTTTAGAGTGAGGTGTTAAGGTCATATTTAAAATTTTAAAGTTGAACTGGGCCTGAGGTACCCGTATATTTTTTCACCAAAACAGGTAAAAATTCTAAACTAGAGAAAAAACATATTAAATTCGTATTTTTTGTTTTTTTGATAACCTCATTGGCTCAAGAGAAATTCAGCCGGGCCGTCTAAAAAGGACACCCTGTATAACTAATCTCATACAGTATATTATCTTCTTATCTTAAATCAAAAATAAAACAACAAATCCACTGAGAAATATATAATAATCTTGAAATATTTTTTGGATCTGAGGGCCCATCGGCAAGAAGGCTAAGACACGTGCCTAATATTTTTCAACCCTATAGCAGCAAAAGTAAGTTTCATTGAAATCATTGATCCCAAGTACTGAAATCTCTGGATTAGCAGGACTCCACTTTTGTTTAGTTTTTAACGCTTTTCTTTTTTGCAACAGCTAATTTCTCTCAATAAAAAATAATGACAATACAGGCAGATAGGTTGATAAAGAATGGGGTTTTTAAAGGTTCCACCATCAAGGGGTCTGGAGCTCGAGAGGACTGTCAACCATGAGAACATCCTGAGTCAGCTCGGCGCCTTCAGAAGACAGCTTGCCAGGGAGCACCAACGACTCGAGAAGCGCCTTGAGCAACGCTCTTGATACCTCGCGCCCTGGCTGTACTCTCAGAGGGAATATTGATTTACATTGAAATAACACATTTTAGCCATGACATTTAGCCTTTAGTGCCTTCAATACTCACATAAAAGTCGACAACGATCAGAAACTTATCAGGGTGTGGTTTTATTATTTATTCATTTTAGAAAAATGTTATTTTTTTAAGAAAAAAACTATGATACTTGTGCAATCTTTTTTTTAAACAAAAACAAAAAAAATGCTTTAAGCTGAAAAGAGTAAAGATGTTTAAATAAAATAATAAAAAATTAAAAAAAGATGATTTTAACATATTGGGTGCTCTAGAATTAGTTTTACTTATAACAATACAAACATAAAGAACTATATTTTCCAACATAATTCATCACTTACTGTGATAATTAGGGTAAATTGACACTTAATTTTAAGTAAAACTGTCTTCTCTTAGATCTAATCCATTTAGTAATTATGAGCACAAGTTCAATGTTTTTGTGTATTGTGTTTTATACATTTGCAGAAATTTAATTTTTTACGTACGTATGTTCAACAACTCAACGAATAAAATATATTAAAATATTATTTTGTGTGTTATTTAGTGACCGGTTGTTCAATACTTTGTTGAAGTAGTGAGGAGCCGTCAGGAATGAAGTATTTTAGATAAACACTTTTTCATTTTTTTTCCAATGTTTTGACCTTTATTCGGGTCGTCTTCAGCGTCTGGTTGAATTACTTCCTTTTTGGAACAGTAAGTTGTTTTGCAACGATCCGGATTGCGAGCCTTTGGTTCAACATTGTAGACGTTGCAAAACAACTTACTGTGAGTAGGAACTATCTTTTTAAAAAGGATTAAACACCGTACTCACTCCACCATTCATAATTTTTACTAACAAACAATATAAATTTTGAAACGATCATTTTATAATTGCATAAAGTATGATGCTATTCTTGTAGTGTCATGTTTGTTTCGTCTGAAATTGTTGTGAAACGTGAAATTGTTCCATGGGGAACGCGGTAAACATGGAAAATTTTCTTTGATCACAGACAGTTTTATTTGACCCAAAGGAAGTCGAGTCCAATTTTTTGATTCGGGGTTTATTTTGTTGGCACAGTTACTAATATTGGAAGGGAAGTAATTATTATGACGATAATGAATGAATGGGAAATGTAAAATTAAAGATTAATAAACTTCCTCTCACTTAGTGTGAGTCTAGTACGCACTGGGATTCTTTATTAGGACTCTTTTTCGCAGATTCTCGGATACATGTCGCAGACTCTGCCCCGCAACATTGTCGCTCCGGAAATCGTGCCCGCACTGACTAATGTTGTGCAACACTGAGAAAAGAATCCCATTTAAGATGGGATTAAAAAAAATACTAAAACGCAACACATCAGATTCAAGATTCATTGTCGCGGAGTTTCTTGGAGGCGAGAAAATGAATCCCAGACGCAGCTCCGCGTAAAGAGTCCGAACAAAGAATCCCAGTGCGTACTAGGCTTAATACTTTTTCTTTATGCGGACACTTCTAATGAGGACAAAATCAGATTTCTGAGTAGTTCTTTCTTGCCATTAGCGTTATTCTAGGCCATTACTGCTGGTGAGCTAGCGCCAGTCCCAGAGCTAAGCCAACCTCCAGCAGCAACTGTCAGGCCTCATCAAACGGTTCACAACTTAAAACTTCCAAATTTTACCTTTTTGTTACTATTCTTTGCAAGAAGAAGCAAGACGTGTGATACTGCTTCTTTTCCGGAAAGACCACAGCAATCTTCGTGGGTTGGAATTTTTTGACTTCTTGGCCAACTGTTTAGTTGGTTGCTTATTCAGCATTAAGTCTTGCTAGTGCCACATCTTAAGGTGGCCACTCACCATCGTTCCTAGCAGTCCAAACGGAGCGACGCCGTTCCAAAAACCGCGTCAATGGCAAAACTGAACTGGCGTGCCCGGCTGTGCCGAATATTCGACCTGTCCAAACTCCATCGCGTCACTGGACTACGGCATGGCGCGTTCGCAAATGGGAAAACCTGGCGTGGAGGGTGGGTATTTTGGCGCGCTGGCCTGGTCGTGAATGGGAAAACCTTTTTTTTTTGTCGCAGTCTCCGTCTTTCTGTCACTGAGCAAACATCTCCGTCGTACATTCTCAAAAACGTTTATTCTTTATTGGTAATGACATCCAATCGAGATTTTATTGTTGAGGTGATTGAATTGTATGAAAGTTTACCATGTTTATGAAAGTGATGGACAATGATTATATTACCACGATAGAAATAAAAGAAATTCGATCCTCAACCAGTTGGTCGACGTTTTCAAAACAAAGGATACAAATGCAATGAGATATGCGGTATTGATAACCCCTAACAATGATCAGAAATCGTAGTAGAGAACTTAAGTTCTTTGCAGGGGGACCGCGGTAGCCGAGTGGTTAGCATGAGAGACTCTCACGCCGCGGTCGTGGGATCGATTCCCAACGTCGCCTCTGGCCCTTTTTTCCCGATAACCCCCAATTTGAACACACAAGAATTCGTACTATGGCTAATATGCAAGATCATAAGGCCAATAATAATAAAAAAAAGAAGTTCTTTGCAGTTCATCCCTGTAGCAAGAAATCGTAATGTGGTTGCCAACCTTTCATGTAGTGATGAATTCTTTCGTGACTGTCTTTTGTTTTCTAATCAAGGGGGTAACAAGCTGGAGTAAATATAAATAAGACGTTAATCTTTTTTCTGTAAGGTTTTGGGTGAAATGAAAAAATAGTGTCACGAGGGGATTCGAATCCACGACATTCGGCTAAATACGCCGCTACGCTAACCACTTGAGCTATCCTGACTTCGATTGTTCGATCCACTCGGGCACCAACTCCCCATCTCAACCTACAACCGTTCGAATTTTCTCTCTTTTTGCCATTTTTTGGTGTCGGAGAGGATCGAAGTCACGATAGCTCAAGTGCGAGAGCAGCAGCGTATTTATCCGAAGGCCATGGATTCAGATCCCGCTCGTGGCATTAGCTTTTTCATTTCAACCAAAACCTTACAAAAAATATTAATTAATTGAAAGAAGTAATTTGGTCAATAGAACACTAAATATAATGAATAAATAAGACGTTTCGTCCATCCTTAAATAGTTCCTCCAATCAGCGGGTTCAAGGAAAAGATCTTTCATCAAATTGATGTGGGTATTACGTCTTCTGTTCAGGAGCCACTTCTTACACCATTTCCTTTTCGATTTTTTGCTTTTAATATATAAATAAACAGAAGCGTAGCACAAGAGATCGTCATCCATTTTGAGATGGTAATTCACTGGTTGACGTTCGGAGCGACTGGCTGTGGAGCGGTCGTGAATGGTCCCTCAAATTTCAGGCACTCCAAATGGAGCTGTACGGCTTGGCGCGGTTCCATTTGGAGTGATCGTGAATGGCCACCTTTAAAAAAGCCTAGCGGTGATACCTGGCCGTTTAAACATCTAGATAGGCTGCCTGATTCCCTTCCAACTGAAAACTATAGTATACTCTGAGAGTACACACGTGTGCTGACTACCCAATTGGTCATCGGAAATTAGTTTGTAATGTTGTTCAATGGGATTTGTTTATAATAAAAGGAAAAGAGATTTCAATAAATGAAAATGCCTCCTTGAAAACATCTGTCAATTAAAACGTTATCTATCTATCTAAGACACCTCTGTTGAGAACGGCACCTTCTGATGTATCCAGAACACAAGAAGTTATGGGGGCAAGAGTATTTGATATTCCGCCCTGGAATAAAATCCGAGGATCCATGAAAATGAACACTAGTATATTGCAGACTGAAGTCGATGTAATTGAGAGAACAAAGGGTTCAAAACCAAGAACATAGCTTTCATGCAGCCATCAGACACTAGGCTCAAAGATGGTGCAGAATTGCAAAATTATCCCAAACCAATGCCAACATCCTAGGCGCGTTATGGGAACATTGACTCTATTACAAAATGACATGAGAAACTTAATAGATGAAAGTATTTAATTGCTTAAGAAAACTTGAGGGGCATCGATGGTTAAAGTGTTGACATGGCTTTCATCACTATAAGGTAAAAGTCCCAGTTCGAATCCAGGTTTTTATTTTTTTTTAAGATACCGGGGTTGATATGACCTCTGCTGTTGTGTACTCCCGTAAAAAAAGATCTTCAGGCCTGTGAACAACAAATATGGACAAACAGTAAAGCAAATGATTAGACACTGAACATATAAAATTTATTGAGAACTATTGTAACATGATGTCACATGAAATGTACTGTTTAAGGGACACAAAACGAACTACACTTGGGGATGTACTTAAACATCAAAGTTACATTATTATGAACTATGCAAATTGATAATTACAACTCAAATTACACAGTGTTAAAAACATTTTTCTTTCTTTTAATCTTAAATCTTAACTTCTAAAATCCTCCACAGATATGTAGAGGAATCCCAGGGCTGTGTTTTTAATTACATATAAGATAGCACATTTACACTCTTCACTCCTCGTTAACAAATAACCTGACTATTCTAATTACCATGAATTTAATTTAAAACAATACACTTCTAATTATCGATTAAACACTGTTTAACGACTTTTTTTTATAAGGTTTTCTTCTTTAGTTGGAAGGTTCAAAAAACACTTTTCAGGACCGGAAAAACTACCAATTTTCTTTATTTTTAAAGTTTTTTTTGGTCCATAGTTTTGCATTTTAATATATACAAGTAATCTCAGTTGAAAGATAAAAATAAAAGAAAACATCATCTACGCATAATTTTAATAAGAACAATATAAAATTACATAATTTCATGATGTTAGATTATCTCTCTCATAAGGTTTTTACTAATTTTATATTGTATATAAATAATAAAATTTACACATATTTCACTCGCAATATAAAAAAAGTTACTCCCATTAAGTAGCAATGGTGAAATAGCAGTAACTTTTTTTAATTATTTCGTTTTGATATTTCGTATTTTAAAAATTATTAAAAAAATATAGCGCTTAAAATAAAATTTGAAATCACATTGGGAAATGGACAGAAAAAGCTCTTACTAAGGATTTTTTTTGTTATTTATATTTTTTTAATCAAATAAACAATGGCACAAAGTATATTTATTGTACATTCTTTATTTTTTTAAAACTTTTTTTTTACTATTTACATCCTACCGGCGTTTAATTGTTTTTTCCTTTTTGCATACTAAAGCCTACAAATCACTAAAAAAGGAAAAAACAAATTACTCAAACTTTGTCATTAAAAGTCTCAAACGACGTGGAAAGATTATCAAAAAACAAAAATCTGTCCAGATTGACTATTACTCATAAAGGTGTTACACAAGGTAATTCCTTCGTACTGTGTTTTAGATGAATTTTTATTTTCATTCAGTGGCAGACTTGCTTGATCTGCTGAATGGAGAAGAAATTAAAAAGAAATTCTTTTTGGGATGTTTGCGAATTTATTTACATCTCTGGAATAATAAAGGAGTCCTTTATCTTCATTAGTTGAGATATGTGTCTTCTTTTTGGATCTGAAACAATTGTAGATTAATCAGAAGCTGTCAGGCGAACTTAAAACTATACATGCGTTCACATAAGCTATATAAGTCTGTTTATGCGTCTTTTCTATATTAAATTACTTTTATCATAATATGATGTAATAATCCGGGCAGGTGAAATCTCTGATGTATAGACACTAGTGTCAGCACATAGGGGAATGACAACCCTTCTATTTTTTCACATATTCTAAAAACACGACCAGCCAATGTCTTTCAGTGTGAGGGATTAAGGGGTAAGGAAGCCCTTAAGGGGGACATGGTAATCGGAATGGGCATGTGTAGAGAGATGGCTCAAGCAGCAAGATTAGGATGGATCAGATTTGAAGAAACTTTTGGAATCCATAATGCATCAGTTCGTTGACAAAAAGAACAGTGAAGTTGTTGTATAGTGAGGTTAGTGAAGAAGTAAGGAGATTTGACAATTTGTCTGAGGACTTTTGATGGGATGCTCTGGATGTTTTATGGCTTGACAGAATCGCACTTTCCACTCTGTATAACCAAAGTGGTAAAGGTTATTTATTGAAAGTCCATTATATTTCGTGGTCTATTGACCAAATTGCTTCTTTCAATTAATTAATCTTTTTATGTAAGGTTTTGGTTGAAATGAAAAAGCTAGTGCAACAAGCGGGATTCGAACCCACGACCTTCGGCCAAATACGCCGCTACTCTACCACTTGAGCTATCGTGACTTCAATCCACTCGGACACTAACTTCCTATCTCAACCCCACCTTTTCAATTTTCCCTCCTTTTTGCCATTTTTCAAATGTCGTGTAATCAGGATTCGATTTTCGGCGACATATGAAGTGGCCAGCGTAGAGCAGCGGCGTATTGAGCCGAAGATCGTGGGTTCGAATCCCGCTCGTGGCATTAGCTTTTTCATTTCAACCTTACATAAAAAGATTAGTAATTGTAACTGTTAAAGGTATTCCAATTATCGGAGTTTTGCATGTTGTCTGTTCCTATCACAAAAAAATTATTACCGTTACAGTCATTCATTGACCACTATTATCATTCATCAAAACAAACTAAGTACAGCTGGATTTTTAAAGTTTTGTGATTTCGCTTAAGACTTCGAGAAAATAAAGACAAATTTGATGGGTCAGGACAGTTTTTATTGGCAAAAACCGTAATGGCTTGTACTTAAAACATAAATAAAAAAGTGTGATGATTATTAGTGATAATTAATCGATAATTATTCCGAAATCGTGAGATGCGGTCTGGAGTGATGTAGGTTTCAGAAAAACATTTTCTTTATCGTGCCAACGTTTCGATCTTTATTGAGATCATGTTCAGAACTCAAATTGTTTGTCTTCTGTGTAATTATGCCATTCTTGCGTGTCGTGTTGAGAGTGCCAGTCAATGCCGCCAGACTGGCACTCTCAACACCACACGCAAGAATGGCACAATTACACAGAAGACAAACACTTTGAGCCCTAAAGATGATCTCAATAAAGATCGAAACGTTGGCACGATAAAGAAAATGTTTTTCTGAAACCTACATCACACTAGACCGCATCTCACGATTTCGGAATAATAAATAAAAAAAGTAAAATTTCATTTGTCTCTCCTGTAAAATTATCTTTTGTTGAGATGTGTCACTTTTCTTGTGGATGTGCGAAATATGTACCTAGTCTCGTAAAAATCAAGGTTAATGCTTAATTAAAAATTACTTATTCTCAGGGCTGGTCTATGCATTTGTAAGTTGTCCTGTAAGCCCTCTCGTAAACATTCTGATATTCCGGTACCGTCTTGATGCACGATTTCCAATTGGTGGGATCACATTTTGTCTCAAAGTGCTTTTTGAGGAGGAGCCTCCTGTAGCCCCTGACGTACGGTTCCTGCACCGGTCTGTACTCGCATTTCCTGGAAAGAATTTCGTATTGAGCCTGTTAAAGTAGAAATAGTCCCGGACGGATAAAATCGGATAGTGCTAGTACTTGTCGTGGCATCTGGGCCCTGATGAGTGAGGCTGGCAGATGCACGTGTTCCCCGGAGCGCAGGTGGCCGAGTTCTCGCAGGGTGGGTCGCAAATCGGCTCCTGGCATAGGTCGCCGGTCGCGTTGTGCGGACATTCGCAAAGTCCTGGACCGACACAAGTGCCTCCGTTTTCGCATCCTCCACCACATGTGACTGGACAACAGATAGAAAGGTAATATATAACACACAACTACCATACCATGGCAAATGCAGACTATTTTCATTGGATATAATGATGATAAATATATAACAGATGAAAAACTACTTTCTTTACTTCAGAATAACACTACTTATAGTGCTTAATTATTATGTACTAATAAATTAATTAAATAGCACTTCAAGCTCTTGTTTTCAGCACATTAATTTTACATAAAACCAGAATAATTTAATATAAAAATCAAATTTTCTCTTGATTTTTTTTTTTTTTTAATGTAGCGACCAAATCTTAACTCGTCTTGTCAATATTACAGAACACTAACTGTTATTAATTGATAATTAAGTTTGATAAAATCAATAAAATAAAAATTAGAAGGTGCATAGCAATGCAATAGAATACGTGTTAAAGCTTTTTTTTGATAACTCATGTAATTATTATCTCCAAGATAATTTTATCTAAATGATAAAAAATTACTTAAATTTTTTGCTGAGCTTGGAGGTACTCGTACATAGCTGCTGCTATGTATTTTTTTGTGGGTTTTAAACTTACAATTCTGACATTGATCTCCGTTCGTGTTGGGTGGGCAAAGGCACTGGTTGTTACCGACACAATGTCCTCCATTTTGGCATATTGGATCGCATATTGCTGAAACAAAAAAGAAATTTATTTTGAAAAAAATAACGAACGTTTTGTTGTCACGACTTGCAGAAATCGTTTTCTAACAGGGATGAGAAGGTCAAAGTTTCCAAGCACAGGTGCCCAATTAAAATAGTTAGGTAGTGCTTACAAAAAAAATTGTAATTGTTAGTTGCATACCTAAATATGGACAGCTAAATTGTGATATAGTGAAAAAGCGAAAGAAAACTGGAGATAGAAAGTTAAAAAGATAAATGAGGAAGAACAATAAAATCAGTATGGTCTGGTATGATGTAGGTTTACAAAAACAGTTTCTTTATTGTGCCAACGTTTCGATCTTTATTGAGATCATCTTCATGGTCTGGGATGTTTACACATCAATCATTTCTACATAGTCTAATTCTTCAACAATTTGTCTTTCCTTTCCCTAATTAACCCCGACTATGTAACCATGAAAGGATAATCTGGAATGTTACCTATTTTTTCTCATTATCGGCTCCTTTCAACTCAAAGACTTCTCATATGAAAATGAATTTCTATCCTTACTGCCTTCCCAACTCCTTCAAAATCCAAGGTATATGAACATAAAATATCCACATCTCACTGGCATTCTCAACACGACATACAATAATGGCACATCTACACAGAAAAAAACACTTTGAGTGAGTACAAATACTTTGATTGTCTAAAATTTCTATCATTGTATAAATTCATTTTTTCACATCTTACATATATTTGCATAATTTAAACAATGTTTATAAATCCCAGGAGATGAAGATGATCTCAGTAAAGATCGAAACGTGGGCATGATAACGAAAATGTTTTCTAAACCTACGTCACACCAGACCGCATCTCACCATCTCCAAATATGTAATCATTAACTAACGGTCACTAAACACCATACAAATATTGATAATATTCAGTTAAGATGGATTTCTCCTCCCTGTGTATGTATGTAAGGAAGAGGGAGAGAGAGAGAGAGAGAGAGAGAGAGAGAGAGGAGAGAGAGAGAGAGAGAGATTACGGAACGCCAAGGACGGTCATAGAGAGAGAGAGAGAGAGATTAAGGAACGCCAAGGACGGTCAGAGAGAGAGAGAGAGAGAGAAATAATAATTATTTTAATTTAAATAAAATTTGCAAGCAGAAGAAATAGAATGGAAGAAAGTGACAGAGAACAATGAGAGGGAAGGAGGGAGGGAGAGAGAGAGTGAGAGAGAGAGAGAGAGAGAGAGAGAGAGAGAGACTAAATGAAAAAAGAATAATTATTTAAATTTAAAGAAACAACTAAATTTATGCAAACAGAGAAAATAGAAAGGAAAAGAAAACCGAAAAAATGAAAAATATGAAGAGGAGGGAGAAAGAAAGAGAGAGGGAGAGAGAGAAATGAGAAACAGAATATGAAGGAAGAGAGATGGAAGTATGACAGAGAGATCGAGATCTATCGATAGGCATAAATCGATAGATGGATAGATAAAGTGTGTTAGAGTGAGTGAAAAAATGCGAAAGAAATTGAGATTGATTGTTTTGATGGTTTTATTTAATCACGCAAAGTTAATTTCTTGGACCTTTCTTATACTTAACGTGAGTCATATAGTTTAATTATACGTGATGTATAATATGATTTAGACTCATTTAGTATTTACAATATATTTTACAATTATAATTTATAATAAATAGAATTTTTTTGTGTTTTACTAACAATTTGACAATATAATTTTTTGAAATATTTTTTCTTTTTATCGCAGGCTTATCAATTTGTAGAACTTATGTATCAATAAAACCAAAAACAAAACTAGAGAGAGAGAGAGAGAGAGAGAGAGAGAGAGAGAGAGAGAGTGAGAGAGAGCGGAGTGAGCGAGAAAGAGAGAGATAATACTCATTTAATTTAAATTGTTCTCAAACACGGAGCCATTGATAGATTAAACTTCCAAGCCAGATCAGTCGTGAAGGTTTAGTATGTTCACACGCTCTTCAACAGAAATAGGAACGTGTCTGCGTTTCTAAGTACGTGTGGTCTTTTTTCACAATAGTATCACGTCCTCAGTCTTTGCATTTTTATCAATTATTAATATCTTTACTATCAATTAGCTCAATGTCTCGAAGAACGACAATTTTTATATTGTCTTTCTTTACTGTTTGCATTTAATGTGACTGTGTTTTATCTGGTTTGACTTCCTGACGGTGTTATATTAAAACAAAACGTAAAGCTAAGAGGCAAAAAGGAGATTACGGAGAAAGTTGCTTGTTTTCTTTCAGAAGCTCGGTAAATTCTCCATTACTTGCTCACTCACTCTCTCGCACTCTCTCTCTCTCTCTCTCTCTCTCTCTCTCTCTCTCTCTCTCTCCCTGACTTTTTTAACCAACTAATAAATGTTTTATTTAAAACTATGGCATATACGATGTTCCTGTGTTGCTGCTCTCCTTGGTTTCGGTAACACGTTTTTCAACTTTGCAAAGGAGATTTCACCAAGAAAATTTAAAAAAAGCGTATAAGTGAGTATGTCCTTAGATTACTTATCTTACCAAAGGCAAATTTGGTGAAATCCGCTCCGCTAAAATTTTGATTCAAAAGTCATTGCACGAGCCACAATTGAGAATCCCCCCCCAAAAAAATACGGGTTATCCTATTTGTTATTATTTATGAGGCTACTGTGTAATCGGAAACGCGATTTTTTGAACGAAAATTTTGTTATCCTGAGGAAAATTTAACGTGGTTTGCAAAATACAGGTCGGATTTATATTTTAATGACGCTAAAGTTGAGAAATTACGATGTTATGTAAAAAAAAATCTGAGTTTAGACTAAAATCATACATTTTTTCATGTTTCATTTAGTGAATCCACCATGGCAAAAATAAAACTGATTCCCAGAAAACTACCGGCAGGCGACGTTCCGAAACAAGAAAAAGCAGTAGAAGGGGTTTCCTGGTAATGTAGTAAAATCGGACGCTCAATCCACTGAAATGTGTACGATTAAAATATTCGCCGTAGTAAAATCGGACGCCGACCCCACGAGAAGTGTAAGACTAAAACAGTCTTTAAAATATACGAAAACGACTGTGGCGTTCAGTCTGAATTTGCGAGAACTATCAGTATTCAAATATTGGTACAAAACGCAATCTGAACGTCCACTCGAAAATTGGTACAAGTGTTATTCTGATGATAATGAGCTGGAAGCACTGACCCGGCGAATCGGCGTCCATATACGGACGCTGTTTTGCCTTAGATGCCGGTTTCAATGTAAAATTTCTTCGAGGGGACGTCAAGTTGATAGGAAGATATATATATATTTATATATATATACAATTTTATCTCCTTGCATATATTTTTCAAACGTAGAATTTATATAAATATTCTGAAAATTTTCCGCTGGTTTCGTTATGTTTTTCAACAATAAATGAACACTCATTTTTAGAATTTTTATGCCGAGGATGTTATTTAGTATTTACTTTTACACTAAATACTTTTGTGTCTTATCAAGTGGAATCTTAGAGTGAAAGAATTGCGGAAGGTTTTGATTGTATGGTTTGGATGTTGGTCTCACTTCGTCACATTTCTCATGGATTCACCCGTCGTTAAATTGTAATTGTTCTATTGCATTTGTACCAGAAAAAAAACTGTCGCTAACTCAATCCGAGGCCACAAAATCAAAGGCCGAAACTGGGACGTCGACAATGGCAGGGAAATTTTGAATTCGGACCCCGGTCAGTTTAGAATTTGTCTTTTGGGATAAACCAATGGCCGAATATGACTCGAACGACAGATTCTACTTGGGTTAAAACTTTTACCGTTTTAACAGACGTTGAAGTTCGACGACCAGCTCTGCAGCAGCCCTTTGCATTTTTACATTCAAGTCGGACAGTTTGTCACTGGTGTGAAACGCAGTGGTAAAAGGAAACAAGGCTTTTAACTTTTAGAACAATTATTCGTTATTGAAAACCCTATTGATTTATAAAAACGAAAAGTATACGACTTCTTATGATATGTTAAGGATAACTAGTTAGGAAAACGTAAGAATCCATGGTTGTACCAGGTTTATTGTGGGGTTCCTAAACAAGTACGAGGAATGATTGGCATTTGTGTTTATTGACTCCATTGCTTATGTACGTCTTATAGCCTTAAAATACCCCGATCATAATACTATCATTTATAATTAGCAACAAACGTTAATAATTTTTACTCATTTTGAATAAAAAATTATTCCATTTAGTTACTTCTATTTCGGCGATTGTTTTCTTTCACTTTCTTCTCTTAGTTATATTTGCCATGTGTCAAGAACGTGTGACTTACGTGTCTGGCAGATAGATCCGGTAAAGTGGTCGGGACACTGGCAGACGCCGTTTTTGCAGACGCCTCCGTTTCTGCACCTGGGCCTGCAGACAGCCGTTTGGCAGCGAGGCCCGACGAACCCAGGCCTGCATCGGCACTCGCCTTTCTTCTTGCACACCCCTCCGTTTTCACAGTGGCAATCTGTAAAAAGAAATCCATGTTAAAATTCCTTTCAAGCATTAATTATTCTACAATTAATTATTAAGCTAATATAGGCATATACACGCTTAGTTAGCAGTTCTTGTAGCGGCTAGTTTTGAATAATAATTAACTACTGAAATAATTTAGTAAAATATAAATTAGGAAAGAACTTTTGATTTCGTCCGGCAAGTCTTGCTATTTTATTGTTTGTAAATTTGTCTAAATTTACAACAATGAATTTTTAACATTATGCCACTATGCCAGTTTATGTATATTTTGTTATATATCCAGGTTTTTACATAACTTTCTAGTAGAGTTGAAAAATAACAATTGAATGTTCGAAAACGTGTGCTAAGGTAAATTTGAAGGGGGGGGAGTAATAAATCAATTAGAACTCACTTTGTAAAGCAAAAATGACACATCTGTAATCTCACAAAAACCATACCAGAAAGTTCCATACAAAATGCAATGGTTCTTCTTGTAGCAAGAACGTTTTCGAACATTCAATTGTTATTTTTCAACTCTACTAGAAAGTTATGTAAAAACCTGGATATATCAACGTAAAGCATATTAGATGAAGAAGTTTTTGTGAAATTTGACAAGTTGTAGGTATTTTTTTGTAACCTCAGTAGAACGTTCAATAATGACCAAAATTTTAAATTTTGTAATTTTGATATGTTCCAACTGGTATTGGCTAACATTTTATATCATTCAGATTATTTCAAATAGAAGTAAATTACAGCAAATTAAGCCTTCTTTCAAGTGGTGTAATTGGATTTGTTGTAGTCTCAACATTTTGCAAGTTGTGAGCGTTTTTATGTGGTAAGGTAGTGAAAAGTTGAAAAAACCGAAATTGACGTATATCTTCAAAATATAGAACTTTCCGAAAATTTTCTCCTGGGCATTTTTTGCTCCAAACGAAGAGTAGAATCGATTCCCTGAGTTTCGTCAGAAGGAACTGGGACACCCAGTACTAACATCTTTTGAGTTAGATGCATAACTTGTGACGTGACCATTTCGAGTAATCGATTTTCTTGCATGGATTGGGTCAGGCTAGCATGAATAGGTGAGATAAGGTTAATGTTAGGGATTCGTTAGGTTACCTAACGTAGTGTAGGATTAGGATACATAACATCGTTGGTTCAATGTTTTACCTATGAGAGGAGAAAATGTGCAAGTTTCAATGTACAGGTATCCAGTGAATATACGTCAATACTATAGACGTAGTATATACGGAAGTTATCTTGCATGTCAAATAAACTGCAAATTCTCAATTATCAAAAGTATAAATATGTAAGAATAAACGGGCAGGAAGTAAATGTTTAGTACAATTTTAGTAGTCATTTAATCTTAATCTCATAATTTATAAATAATGAACTTCTATCGGTAAATCGGTTCACAGTTAACCAGGGAGTATGACAAGGAGGCTTACTCGGTACTCTCCTATTGGCATTATTTATGAAGCGCTTAGACGATGAATTAAAAACAGGAATACAATCATGAAATCACATATTAAAAGTGTATTAAATGCTGATGTGTATGAGAAGTATCGACCACTTTTTCAGTTACGAACAATCTGGATCAAGGATCTGTATCATTTGCTATGATAATCTTAAAATAGGTCGAAAGCTTGGCAGTAACAACTAAATTTGGTTTCTTCTTAAAGACCGTACCTCGATCCAGTGTCCGTGAATGCTGATGACTTAATTATTATTGCCTAAAGTCCGCACTTATTACAAAAAATATCGTCAGTATGGAACGTTCCTGGAAGAAATATATTCAAGTAAATTTTAATAAGTCAAAAGTGGTTGCTTTCGTAAGGACAAACAGTGTGTGCTGGAAGTTTAAGTACCAACTATTACAAGTAGTGAACCACTTAATTCTTCTGTTTACTTCTAAAGTCGGGAAAAATCTTTACTTCAGATAAACACAAACCTGAAACTACACTACGCACAAAAAGGCCGAAAAATGAACAAACACCAAAACTTGAAAATATAAAACTTAACATTTTAAAACTCATAAAAATGATCAAAAAGACCGACAGGAACAGTAAAAAAAAAAAAAAAAAAAAAAAAACAGGCTTATCTCGTCGTACCGACAAAGATAACAGTCGCCTTACCCTCTCTTCCTAAAAAGTGTTTGGACTTGACAAAGATCACACAGACATACTGAAGATGACGTAGCCCAACCCAGCATTAACCAGGTCAAAATAATCGTTACCTACAGCTAAATAAACAATAACCTACAATAAACTAGTAATAACGAAGTTATGAAAATTATAATACAAGAAATATATTAAATTACATTCATTTTAATCCTTCTTTATGAAAAAAAACCAAATATTTTCAGCTTTTCTACCGATTAATTTGAAATATTTCATTTAAGTAACGTAAAAACATAATGAAAACGAAAACAAAACAAAGCAAAAACAACTGTAACAGTTATTACTTTACAGGTTTTTTTATAATTAAAACTTATCTGCGAGTTTGGAAAACTCTCTTTTGATAATAAACGCGGCATTTAAAGCGCGTCAATTAAAACTCTTCTTCCTGAATTAAAAATTATAAATAAGTTAATTCTAAAAGATGAAAACTTTCCTTCCGTAAAGTTTTAATGTGCTTGGGAAAAAAACCTTAACAGATAGGACAAATTTTTCTCTATAAATGAATACCTGTTTGTTAAAAAATATTTTAGAAGTATAAAGAGTACAGTAATGTTAATATATTGGACAAAATGTAGAAATGTATATATATGACATCGTTTTTTACAATAATTTAAAATTCTAATTAAAATTTAATAAGTGAACTTCCTTGTCATTATGAACAATTTTTATTTAAATCTATCTAAATCAATTGGTTAACATTAGTCTAAAAGTATTGCATCTGTCGACATTGGCCACATTTTTTGAAAAATTAATCGGCTTAAATTTGAAAGTGTGTATTTTAGCCATGCGGTTCGAAAACGAGGAAAAGATTCTAGGGTTTTAGCAATTTTAACTGGGCGGGATTTAAAATATACAAAGCTTTCCGGATGATAATGGATTTTCAAACATGCTGGAATTTTAGAATGGTTCATGGTATTATTTGATCTTGTATGAAAAAATGAACTCTACATACGTTGAACCATTGCTTTGCTTTAATTTCAATCGGTATTGTCTCACTTGAATAATATAATTACAGCTAAATTTATTTTTCGTTTTACCGAGTTGGAATGCCGCCCCATATTAAAATTGTGATTGAATCTCTGTCTCTTGTTCCTGAAAACTGCTTTATTGTATACAGTTCTTGATATTTCGCCCACTCACAAGAAAAGTGAAAAAGTGACCCCAACTCTTAAAATTACAAAAATCGCATTTTTGTTTAGTATTCAGATGTGTGATGGTACAGGAAACATGACACAACTGTAGGTCGACTCTTAGCTTCTAAACAGCACTAAGTGTCACTTTTGAATTGGTGGGAACGTACGGACATCATTAAGAAAAGGCGCATATCTTAGTTATATGTCGAGCTTTAAAGCATCAGTGTGAATATTTATCAGGAAAAGTTTTTTTACGTCAGTTTTTTTCTTGTTTAAGCGGGGAACACACCCGATGCTACACGACGCAAATCCAAAGTCCGATTTTCCATAAAATTGTAATACCTCCCCATGCACCTCTGCCCGATGCCACGCAACGCTACCCTACACTACGCTATGCGATCCCCACTGTCCAGATTTTCATCGAGTAGCATCGAGTACAGTCGAAGACAAAAGAACCTGTACTCATATTTTTATTCAAACTACTGTATATTGCCGTTATATTAATTACAACATAACGTATTTTAATGTAAACATACGTATATTTTAATATAAACCAAATTACCCGAGATCAAAAATTCATTAGTTTTTAAAAAAATTAATTTTAATTTTTTTGATATAATGAATTTAACTAACATTTTATTACACGGTTTTGCTCATAAAATTTATCTAACAATTTATTTCATGGTTTTGCTCATAAAATTACACCGTTTTCGTCGAGTAGCCGAGTCAGAACAGGACACTCATATTTTCTGTAGTTTATTTCAAACTATGTATCTGTAATTTTGTCGTTATATTGATTACAATATTCTTATTTTAATGTAAATCAAATTAAACGAGATCAAAAATTCATGAGTTTTTATAACAATTATTTATTTATGATGGTTAGGAAGAAAATTTATCGAAACACCGGAATAACTTTATTTAAAAAAATTAACCTTAATTTATTACATGGTTATGCTCATAAAATTTAACCAACAATTTATTACAAGGTTTTACATTAAGAACAAAAGAGGCGTTGCGATTGTGATACTGATTTGTGATACTCGCTGTTTGACTGTACGTGGCGTGCTCTTGACGTCGCAAAGATGTGCACACCCTACCAAAACGAGACAAGGCATCGGGTAGCGTCGCATAGTGTTGCATCGAGTAAGTGTGTTCCCGGTTTGAAGGGTTTTTTACGCTGAAAACAATGGCGCAATAGGCTTTTAAATTAGTCAAAAATGACAAAGTTATGGCAAAAAGTTTGGGGGAAAACAGTCATTTAATTTCGCTACTTATTAATCACATTTCATGTTCAAACTGCCTGTCCTGGGTACAGATGCAAAGGTTTGCTCTTTTTAACCCCACTTCACCGGTGCGCAGAGCGATTGAGACAGGGGAGATGGATTGACAAGCATTTGCCACAGTTCTTCAACTGAAGTTGCTGGATTATGATTGGCGTGACAATGGCACGAGGCAAGGCGTCGGGTAGCGTCGCATAGCGTTGCAACGGATAAGTGTGTTCCCCGCTTTACCGAAGGATTTTATGCTGATCCGGTGATCTTTAGTCGTGTCACTGCAATTTATAACTTACGGTTGTTATAATAGCCGAAACATCTTTTAATATAAAATTCTTGCCCGTCACGGGATCAATAATGGCAACTTGGAGCATTGATACATTCATGATTCAGAGTTTATTTGCATATTTGTATATTGTTTATTTA